AAGTAAAAGAACTGATAAACCAACAAGTAGAAAACCAAAAACGATTGAATGACCAGTTTTAACTGACAATAAACAGCCGGTTCAAACAACTCAAGCAAATGAACTAGCCAGTACAGAGGAATGACAAAAGAACCAAGCTAATGACACATCACCAGCAATGATGAGCCCCGCATCAGACACAAGAGAAGAAGTATGCCAAGGTAATTATCCCTCCACCCCAATTCTCAACAACATTTTGATGAATGCACCTCAAGAGCAAATTATGGATAATTTGCGCAACCCACAAAATAATAATAATCAAAGCCAGCCAAATAAACCATCATTGAGTAAAAAAGGTGGCCACAGGTTTCCAGCGATAAGTTACAGTACAGTCAAACAGATGCCCATAATAGAAGATTTTTCTAACCCTTTAGCAACCAAAATCAAAAGCATAAGAATTTGGTAGATTACAAACTGGTCTGAAGGCCAGAAAATAATCGAAATGCTAGCACAAAAACCAAGCTTGACAATTCATATGTGGAAATCAATTGCTTTCAGTTCATATGTGGACCTTTAAGATTTTGCTTATAAAAACCTGAAATCTAACATAAAGCTCCACTATGATAAAACACTATTACAAATGGGTGAAGGGGGGCTCATATCTATCCGTAAACGGAATATATACAACAAATTCAATGATATATCTGAATGGCTTTTAGCATTCAGATTATACATGAAAGCAATCCTAGTTATATATAAGGACAGAGAGTGGGAATTAAATTTCTACCGTGATCACATAAGTTCTCTTTGTACAAAATATGAATGTAGTGCAGTGATAGCTTATGACAAAGATCGTTAACTAGCGCTAACAATGGACTGTGATTCAACATTATTCGATCAGGATATCGTAGCTAAAGGAGAGAATTTTGACATAACAGCAATGAAGAAGGCAAAAATCAACAGATCTCGTATTCACAAAACTGAACTAACCTGGTATGATGGTAAAGAAATCTGCATAAATTGGAATTGGAGGTATTGTAGTGAAGACAAGAGATGCAGCCGTGTTCATGCATGCCTAAAATGCAAAAAGATGGGGCATACAAAATGCAATTGTTTTGCAGACAATTCCAGGTCAAACTCATCAGCCAATTCAACAACTAGCATAATAACAATAATAAAAAATAAAAAACTAATAATCAAAAAAAAAAAAAAAAAAACTAGAGACTAATGACATATCTATACAAACAAAAGGAAATCCAATAGCATTCACCACGAAGCCCAATATAAACTTTCAAGGGATATGACTTCAACTAAACTACTAATTTTGCAATCAATCAATGAAACTCTCAACAGCATCCCACCAAGAGAACTACCATTTACAAAAGATGAAATTAGAATAATTTTACAGCTTAATCCCAGTCAATTTAATGTACAAACTACTATCAATATGCATGCGTTTAAAGCATTGACAAAGCAACATCCTAATCAACTCTTTATAGAGTACCTGGTAAAGGGCATTGTAAAGAGTTTCAGATTCAATTTTACGGGGCCAAGAACAAAGTTAGTCCAATCAACCTTAGGTCTATTGGCCTTATTACATACAAGATGAAATAAGTAAGAGTCATATATGCGGCCCCTTTACTAAAGAGTTACCACTATGCGATCTATATTAGATTAACCCATGTAGCCTAGTGGAAAAGAAGGAGACAAACCCCAAAGTATACAGGATTATATCCCACCTATCTGCTCCTTTCGGATCTAGCATAAATGACAGAATCGATGGCCTTAAATTTGCAACAAAGTATGAAAACGTGAACTACACCTTAAGATAGATCAATTTATTTAGTAAAGGATGCAGTTTATTAAAAATAGATATAAAAGACACTTACCAGATATTACCAATACACTCTGTCGATCAAGTTTTACAAGGCATAGGGTACAAAGGAAAGTCATACTTCGATAAGGCATTAGCCTTCAGAAACAAAGCGTCTGGTGGTATTTTTTGTAGGTTCACCGATGTACTTACATGGATAGCGTCAGAACAGGGTATAGGATCGATAATTCACTATGTAGATGATTTTTTGATCATTTTGAAGTCCAACAGTAAGAAAGAACTGCAACAATTTCTTCGAATATTGAACATAATTAACGTTCCGTTTAAAGAATCAAAATTGGAAGGTCCAGCCACAGAAATTACATTTCTCAGGATATTAATAAACACAAATAAAATGTCAGTATCAATCCCACCAAGCAAAAAATAAAAAATTAAGAATCTATTATCTGAATGGGCCACAAGGAAGTGGGGCTACAAAAAAGAGCTCCAATTACTGGTAGGCTTGCTTATGTGGCTATGTCAGATGTTACCCAAAATAGACCATTCGTACAATACTTGATAAAGGTTCAGGAAATGTCGAAACATCCTAGACACTATATCAGATTAACTAACCTCATAGTAGCTGATATCACGTGGTGGCATAGTATAATAGGGCAATGGCCCGGAACATACCTTATAGAGGATTAGGCATGGCAACAGCCCAATATAAGCAATTTATACACAGATGCATCTAATATCGGAGGCGGAGCAATATTTGAAGGTTACTTTACAGCATTCAAATGGTCAGACTACATAATGGCGACACACCAGGACATTCAAGAATGTAAAATTCTAACAATGTTAATAGCTATTCACACCTTCTCACCTTTATAGACCAGGAGCAAATTAATAATATAAACAGATAACCTTGCAAATTCAGAGGCATACTATTCTGGATTTTGTAAAAATATAAAAATAAATGACATCATAGCCCAGATATATCAGATCCAAGTATAGAACAACTTTCAATCAAACTAGAGCACATACTCAGCAAGCTCAACACAGACGCAGACCTATTGTCTTGAAGTAGACACAAAGAATACATAAAGAAAAAACCTCTCGCATGATATCTCTAACCTAACATCCCATTTGAATACACTAACAAAATTTCCACTTTCCCATCACTAATGCAGTAGGATCATACAGCCTGACTAACCATGAAACAAAATGGGACAGCAAAAAACTACCACTAAATAAACAAGCAGCAAGTATTCTAGAACTTGACCACCCTAGGCAAAAACATACGAATCAATCATACGAAGGTACCAAACATTAGCAAAAACAAATCAATGGTTCAACAAAAACGGCAAAATTTAGCCCATACCAAAAGAAGCATTAATAAGATTCATAAAAATGTTACACAGCTACGTGACTCCCTTGACAATCAGATCATATCTGTCTGTGTTAAAAAACTATCACACAATTAATTCATACAATTGGACTTCAGTTAGAGAAGATCTATTAGTAACACAGATACTCAAAACCATAGAAGCGAACCACCAACACACCCCAGTACGACAGAAAATACATATCACTAGAGCCCACCTGTGCCACATAAGACATAGTCTGGATTTGGAAAATTCTAATGATCTGCTGTTCTAGACAGTAGCACTAACAGCATTCTACGGCCTAGCATGCCTTGGAGAACTTATTCCTAATGACAAAACAGATAAAAACAAAATACCTAGCATAAGGGCATTAAGATTCGAAAAAATAGGAGATAAAATATTTGCAACGATCCAACTCACCAGAACAAAGAATTACAAATCAGCTAACAGAATATCTCTAATTATTAACTCCACAGCAGATGATCTATACCCAATTCAAGCACTTAAATCATATACTATCTGGTGTACAAGCATGTCATATGCACCAGGAAATAAATCATTATTTGTTAAACATAATGGATCGTGGTCTACTAAATGATGGTTCTGCAAAAGATTAAAATCACTCTTACCTCATGCTGATCTCGTGGGACACAGCTTTAGGGCAGGTGGGACTACTGAATTAGTGATTCGTGAAATTCAGCTGGTGATGATACAGAAAATTGGATGGTGGGATTCGGATACATTTTACAGATACATCCAGGCACACTCTGTGATAATAGCTCACATTCTCATCAATGCATATTCTCAATAAATATTTAAGAAAAAAAAAAAAGGGGGAGCAAAACAATGATAACAATGGAAGTTATTCAAGAAAATCAAGTATATAATGACCGGACCCCACAACAACTTCATACCTTTGGATCACGTGCGTGGTCCGATCATTATAATGAAAAAAAGGGGAAAAGAGAAAAGGCAAATAAAAAAAAAAAAATGAAAAAAAAACAAAAACAAAAACAAGCAACAATGGGTGAACATGACTAATAATGAATTCAGTAACTTTGGACTACATGATTCCATCATTCCATCATGCATCGCTCCATCAGTTGCAGTTCATTACCTTACAGCCGGCTTGCTGCAGCAAGCGGGGATTGGCTCCACTGGCTAATTCTATGGCGACTCCTAGTGCAATTACGATTGCTTCTTCGCAGGATGTCTTGCCGTCTCGGTTAATACTCAATTTCATATCATGTATTCTGCCAAATTTCAATAAATATCCGATATCATTTCTGGCTTAAATTAATGGCCGGCGTAGTCCAAATAAAAATACAGTATATATATTGAGTGATGCGAGTGCTTTTCGTGCATAGTGATGGTAATTACGTGATCAAAAAGAGGAGCTAATCACACGATAACACAGCCACAGCCTCACAGGTGAAATCATATGAGAAAAAAGGAGCCAACAACAGAAAGAGTTAAGCATGGGACGATCTAAATAAATATGGATAACAATGAGGAATTGCATATACTTGCGTAAGAGTCAAGGATCAAAGGTGAGTATAAATAACGGAAAAGAAAAGTCAAGCTGCTTGGGCCAAAAACTGTCAAAGTGAAAGTTCTCGCTACCCACCCTACCCACCCAAGAAATCGAGAGAACACGTGATTCCATCATTCCGTCACGCATTGCTCCATCAGTTGCAGTTCATTACCTTACAGCCAGCTTGCTGCAGCAAGCGGGGATTGGCCCCACTGGCTAATTCTACAGTGACTCCCAGTGCAATTACGATTGCTTCTTCGCGGGGTGTCTCACCGTCCTGGCCGTCTCGGTCAACACTCAATTTCATATCATGTATTCTGCCAAATTTCAATAAATATCCGATATCATTTCCGGCTTAAATTAGCAGCCGGTGTAGTCCAAATAAATATACATCCCCGTGACCCCATTATTATCAAAGTTTATCGAACAATACAATTGATCAACTTACTTCCCCATGACATAATAGTCTCGTGACATACTCAGTAAATTGAAAATCCGAACTCAGCCGATCTATTTTCTCGTGACGTCGAAATTGATGATCAAACCCGATAACGCCGTTTAAAGTCGAATATTGAATTCCCGAAAAGCCGCAGTTACCGAAGAGACATCCACGTGACCAAGAAAAGCCGTAACGCTAGAATACGAAGAGATAAAAGATATTAAGTGTTACATATATCGATAAAATAAACACAACTAAGGCGAGACCAATTCGATTCAGTGGTTTACGTTACCCCCCCTCACTATATACGCGGAAATTTTCGGAAATTTTCGGAAAATTTTTATAATAACGCGGAGCATTTCGGAGAAAAAATTCATAATAAACTCCCTCCAGCCCCCTCCCCCCTCTTTTTTTGTGAGTAGGATGTAACATAAACCACTGAATTAAATTGGTCTCGCCTAAGAGACCATCAGACCAAAGGATACTTATATTAAACCCCGGCAACACATTAAAAGACTCAAAAGACCTTGTAACTCGGACCAAGTCCTCCACGCCTCTATTCGAAGCCTTCAACTATAAGGTCCTTGGAGTCTTGACGCTGATTTTGAAGTATTATAGTTATAGTTTAGATAGTTTAAGTAGTTCTAGTGTAGTTTTTAGTTAGTTTTAGCTTTAGAATAGTCAGTCACACTTTCACAAGGTACACGAAATTTTGTAGTTTAGTCATTTTAGTGATTTAGTGTTCTAGTGTTTCGGCCCGAAACCTTTCGGCGCTTGAATTTAATCCAAATCTTGAAAGTGGCGAAACTGGGCGAAACCTCTGAAACTAGCAAAATCCTTAGAAGCCGAGACTAATAACTACAAAAATTTATATAATTTCATTTAGTTTTCATTTTAAAATGGATAAATGAAAGTCTAATAGATTATATATTCGCAATTGATTCAGTCCCAATCCCTTGTGCTATAACTGATCGCATAGAATTCACCCATGAATAAATGAAATTCACTGTATCACATAATCTATGCATATTCGTGATACACTATTTAAAAAATGATTTTTATACTCGCTCATAACAGTTTGTGCGAATAAAGAACTTAAATGAAAAAACAAATGACACAAGCTTGAATAGCTTATTATAAATGCATTACTCAATGATCTTCTCATTAAATCTGCATAAATTAAATAGAAGTGAAAAGGTATTTAGGATAGTAAATCTAATTAAATTACAGTAAATTTCTCAATCAATGGGTCAAAATGTGTCGGAAATATGTCTGGAGCTAAATTTTAATTAACAGAAGATATTTATAATCGACCAACGTATTGTTATTAACATGAATAAGGTACGAGAAATGTGGTTCATTAAAAATTTAAATAGAAAAAACAAACAGCTAGCCTATCGCTCCAAACCGCATTTTTTTTTTTGAACTGGTTTATCAAAACTTATACATATTAGAGTAATAGAATTATTGCTCAAACAGTTTTATACTTTTTGCCATGGAAATTCGCTATCGGCACTAACGTACAGTATTGCTGTTGTGGTTTTTTTTTAACAAATAAAAGCTAGAAAATAATTTTCTCAACGACACATTATGGTGACAAATTGTGTAATTATATATGGAAATTGTAAATACCTAAATATGCAATATAGGTAATAAAAAGTAATGAAGGTAACATGGCATTGAAAAATTTTTCGAAAAGTACGCCTTATGGAGATTAAAAAAAAAAAAGAAATTTCGAAGACATTTAATAAACCACATAATGTGATAATGGCTGCTCTAGCATTGATTGAGGTCCTTATTTGATCCATCGTAGCAATTGAACATCATTTTAATAATTAGCAAACCACATTAATAGTTGTACGTATTTCATTAATATCTCAATTCGTACTAATTTTTTTTATTCAAAACGTTACACGAATAGCTAAATTATGTCATAACTGTTTTGCACTACTTCGATAACGCATCTATATTGATGCTTGAGAACACCCTAAAAAGAAAGTCAAGAATCATTCGCGATACTAGCCTCATATTTTCCATTAATACGTATTGCTCACATTAACAGATTTTGGGACACTTAAAGAACAAGGAACCCAGTGATCATCGCACCACGTGAAATCATGTAATTACGTCATTTGTTTACTAGCACTAAACAAATTAGCCTATCACCTAACCCTAACACTAGCCCTAACGTAGGCCGAACACTTCATCATGTGATGTGATTATCATAAAGATATCACTGGGTTCCTTGATCTTCAATCTTCGCCAGATTTTTTTGATGATAAATGAATGCCTTATGTCCATTCTCTTCTTCTAATTCTTTCATGATAGCCATGATGTATTTCACTAGAGTGTCCTATTACTGCTGAAGTTTTATAATAAGTGTCAGGTTCTATTCCATTTCTATAACAGTTACCAATACTCATCCTTTTCAACTCCAATTTCATCTTGAGAACTACAAATATTCACTAGAGTGCACCGTCTCCGCAGATCTTGACGATAAATACATATTTTGAATCCCATAACAATATAATAATAAGTTATTGTCATTTGTTTTTAAATGAAAGATCTTTTTCGGTTATAAATTCGTTAAGGATCTTAAGATTATTTTTAGGGATAGAAAGACCTGATGAGTCATAATGTTATAGTAAGAAAACATGTAGTAAGTTGTAATATCATAGAACTACTATATGGAGAAAATTTCATTTCGTCTTTTGTTCTTCGTACAATTTTGTGTTGACGAATATAATTGGTAATCGTTTTTTTTTTTTTTTGGAGTAATTGATTGAAATATAAATTGTAACGTTAGAACATCGCCTCAATAACTAGCCAATTAAATCGAGAGAGGGGCCTTATTTCCAACGCACAATTGTTCCCCTGCATCGTTTAATTACGTTACACGAATTAAACAACCATCATATTTCGATGCGATAATGATTTTAATTTGGGGAGTTAGGGATTAGAAAGTTATATATTCTTATATGTATTCTTATAATTTTTAATTATTTCTTTGATATAAGTTGAAATATTTGTTCACTCGATTTACTTTGGTTTAATATTTTCTTGTGTAAAATAAGTGTATACGAATACAGTAGTCTGAATTTCTGGACACAAAATGTCATTTATTTTAAAATTCTCATGATAATAAAATGATTAAATCTTTTATAATAACATTTATTATTTACATCTATTTATTCACCGTTAATGATGTAAATACGTTGGTTCCTCTGCCGAGAGCAGAACCAGCAGCTATTCTTGTCGACAATAAAATTTATTTTTACGGTGGAGTTAGTGAAATTACTAGGCTTTCAGACTTTTTTTACCTCGATATTGCAACATCATTTATTATAAACGACATATCATTAATGCCCTGGGTTAATCTTACACCACCTACGAGTCTACCAGCAAGAACTGCCTCAACAGCTTGTACTTATGGGGAGAATAAGAATCAAATTATTTATATTGGTGGTGCTGATATGGTAGGTGAAAATTTTACCATCATATTTAACATTACAACACAACAATGGAGTACTCTAAAAACGTCAAAAAATTTTACAATAAATCGAGGACTTTTTCAATGTATTGTTTTGGGAAATGATATATATGTCTATGGTGGATTAGAAGATATATATAATATGATTATATTAGACACGCAAAATTTTAAATTGGACAGAGCTTTCATTTGGACCAATAGCACCTATTGGCGTTCAAGGATATAGTGCTATACTTTTAAACAATACATCTATACTGTATATTGGAGGTCAATCAGGTGATGATTCAACAACACTTTTTTATCCTTCACTTGAAGAGGTTTGATATTTCATCAATTACTTCAATTACTTATCTAATTTCTTAAAATTGTACAGACGTTACTAATTTTAATCAAAATAGTTATCAATATACAATATTAATAGTAACTCCTGGGTTGTAGTTGTAAGTCATTCAGAAATAAACTTTAACTCGGTATCTTATTATAGTATTTTTAAAATCGAAGTCTCTGTTAATTTTATTTAGAAAACATCAGGGGAAATCCCTCCGTCACGTTATGATCAAGGTTCAGTTTTTATATGTAAGTAGTAATCTACG